CATGTCTCCTGGAATGTGGCCCATCTCTAGAGGTTTTCAAACAACATTTGGACAGCCTGTCAATAGATCAAACCATTTGTAGTAAAATGCCTTCTGAGCTAGGTAAACTAGCAATATCCAATATAGGGAAATGTAACAGTTATAATAGAATCAAAGTGATAGTCCAAAAGCTGGCCCAAATGTCATGATAGGAAGTTACTTATTCAAAAAACAAGCCATGTTTTTTTTCTGGAAAATGCATGCTAGAAAGAAGTGGGGGGGTAAACTCCCAATATACATCACCCTAGACTGGACAGATATCGCTAAATGAGTTATGTGTTCAAAGATCAAAGTCTGATCCTAAGTGTCCAAACTGGGCAGTCAAGATCAGACAGATTCTTCAATGGCCATCCTTCTTCATGGCAGAAAAAAGGAAAGAACTATTTACACTCTTTATCTTTTATCAATTTTGTTATTCAAGGTAGAGTGAAAGCCATTAATTTACATGGTTTGATCCCATAAGAATATATATAGCTACTAATCATAATAGCTAGGAAGTAAAGTCTTAAAGGTATTAAAGACTTAGAGACTGGCAGCTGCAGGGGAAAAGATTGGTCTTTGGCTTGATCCAGCAGAGTTCTTATATCTTAAATAGGATAAATATACACATGCAGAAGAATAAAGTCACTGGGACTAGTTCATAAAATTATTGAAAGATTGGCCACTGTTTTTGCATCTTATCTACTTCACTAAAAGCCTTATAAAATTATGCTAAGGGACCAAAAGAGTCACATTGAATTTTTTTGAGAATCAGTTTGGTCCAGAGGTTAAGGCACCAGGTGACCATGCATTTTAGTTCTTCCTTTTAGTATGAAACACAGCTGGGCAACTTTAGGCCAGAATTCTCTCTCAGCCCATCTGACTTCACAGGGTTGTTGTTGTTGTGAGGAAAATAGAAGGAGGATATATTTGCCACCTTGTTGAATTATTTATAAAAATAATAAAAGCAGGACAATTTTTTAAAAGTGATGATAATGAGAAGAATGACAAAAAAATCACCAGCTCCTAACCCCAACTGTATATATTTAAAAAAACCTCCAAATTTCAATCAAATAAAACACAAACCAATGTTCAATTTATTATTTCAATTGGATACTACCAGAGCATATCTGAAATTTAATTTGGTTAGTGAGTTCTTCATGTTTCTGCAGTTGCATTGTCTAAAGATATCTGGTTAACTATTTGCTGTGTTAAACAATATCAAAGTAAAACTTTCCTGGATTGAAGGCCTGCATCATGTATTATTCCAGCTGCAGCAAGTCAGACTGCAAAAGAAGGCTGTAGCAGATGCTGCTACCATTCGGCGCTCAGCATGGTATTTACTTTCAGTGAAATGATAATCCAGACACTCTTGTGTTCGGATGACATTCAAGAGAGAAGAGCTGGTGTGCAAAAGATCATTGACTTGAGGGGTTCAGATGAGGATGCACTGGGAGATTTTTCTGTACATGCAAGAAAAACGCCTTTATTCTATGCCAAAGCATCCACTCTCCTGGAGCTGATTGACTGGTCTGAAGATGTTTATGAGCCACCTTTGACGTGCAAACTGACTACAGTAGAAATAAAGAAGTTCATTGATGAACAAATGCAAGTACCACAGTGGCCCTGTCATGTCCAATCAATAGAGAGATGTGTTGAACAGGTCACAGAGGCAGCAAACAGAATGTATAGATATGAGAAACGTGAGGGTTATATCAGAGGCCAAGAAGCAAGTTGGCGGATGATGTTGAAGAGTAAGTCAAAACAAACTTGATGAAATTCGCTTCAACATGTTTGTCACTCAGATAATTGCTTTCTGATGTTAAATTATAATTGCATGGATTATTGTTTGCTTAGCTAGATAAGATTCAGGCAGAAAAAAACTTTATTTTTTTGTAGAACAAGGTGGATAACAAGAGACTTTTGAGAGGTATATAATCAGATGTGGATTTACAATACCAAGCTAAATGTGCAATTGCAAAAATAACAACAGATTTGAATTATTGCTGTAAAAACACATATTTTTAGAACCCTTCACTGAAAAAAATTGCAAAGACTAATTTTCATCCAATTAAATGACAAGCTCACTCAGACTCACAAATGTATGGTAAACATTTAGTGAAACTCTAATATGTATGGTAGTTATTAACAAATTAACCTTCCAGTGATAATGTTAACTTTATAATCAGCACTGCCTTCTTAATGGTTACTGTATCCTTTTCTCCTTTCATATAACTTCATATTTGCTTTCTATTCTTTTGTAATTATCCTGATTCCTTCAGCATCACAACATTATACATATTATTGATAATTTAGGGCAATACTTACTGTAGCTGATGGAATATATGCTAGTCCGTTACAACTAATTCCATCAAAATTTCCAAGATTCTCCACATTTTTTATATTTCCACTGAAGTTCAAAAATACAGTACATTGGAACTGAGCAAGTGTTTACCTAGACTAGGGTATTTTCAGCCATCTCAGGAAAACCAGGCATGAAACAAGACTAGACAGTGGTGGGGTTCAAATAATTTAACAACCAGTTCTCTGCCCTAATGACCATCTGGGTAGGTGGGGTTCAGTGGTCCTGTGACTGGGTGGGTGTGGCCAACTCAAGGTCACTCAGGTCGATGGACGCTTCGCCTTAGCTGTTACAATGTAATAAGAGGTAACCGGAGAGGCAGTTTCTGTAAGCAGGTCAATAAAGATTAGGCTAGAAACAACACCAGAATGTTTCCTTCCTGCCTTCCTTACAGGATTAGCCCTGTAAAATGGAAAAAAACAAAAGGAGATTTCTTCCAACAATCGGTTCTCTGAACTTCTTAGGAAGTTAATAACTGGTTCTCCCGAATAGGTGCCAACTGGCTGAATCCCACCACTGAGACTAGATGACCTAATTCTGCTTTATTGTAAAGCTACTTTAACAGAAACTAACACTGATCATATGTGAAAGTTTTGAATGAAAACAGATGATTTTTATTATTCAAAAAAAATCTGCTAAACAAACTGCTGTGAAAACTGAAAACAGATGAATCAAGACATATAATGGACAAGATTTGTTGAATAAATTGTATACAAAACTGCATGTTTCAAATTCAGGATAGAAAATGCATACATGCATAGAGGAAGAACCTGGTAGTTATTCAATAAAACTGATTGGAGCAAAGGTTGGGACAAAGAAAGGACCTTCCATACATATGTGAAGTCTGCTGCTAAAAATAGGCATCCATGAAAGTATCACAGTGCAACAGTGTTTTTATTATTTTAATAAAAACATCAGTTCTTGCAAATACATCTGATAAAATTGTAATGTTAATTGGTTTTTAAGTTTACATTTACTGTGGATGTAGTGTTAAATACTCCAGTTTACTGATATTATGGATTATGATGCAGTTAGACATTTGATTATTTTGATTCGTTTCATTTGTTTTCTGATATCTTATTGTACTGTTTTGGGTTGGTTTGGTGTTTTTTGATCCCTTTGAATTAGTCTTGACTCCTGGTAACGGACTGGACAAGTCCCTTGGCAAACAGTTCACCATTGCTTACTTCTTAAAGGGTGGCTCAAGATCACACAACTGGCCTTGTGCCTAAGACAGGGCTAAAATTCAGTCTCCTGGTTTCTAGCCTGGTGCTAGAATCTTTCTCTCATTACTCCTTACTTGCTTTCTGTAAGATTTCCATGTAGCTATAGAAGAAATAGGACAAAACAATCAGTTGTTGTGCACTGATCTTGAAAAGAATAAAAAACACTCTTGGGTCTATACATTGGCATCCTTCATTTTATCTGCCATTGGGGCATAGATCCCTCTTCCACCTTCAAAACCATTGACCGTCTTCTCCTGTAACCCTGGACAGGAGCCCTTACAAGGTGCTACCAGCCGGGCCAGTTGGACCAAGTTTTTTTTTAAGGAGGTGTTACTCCTCCATCACTCACCCTTTGTCCAGGCTTCTGACAGGCAGAGCCTGACTTCCCAAACATTGGGCCCAGGATGGCGGGTTTTTGGGGCTATAGAATCTTAATGAAACTTAAACTTTATCTAGGGCACTAGGTAAGAGCATATGAAGGTCGATTGTATGCCCACTGGGTAGCCAGCCAATATCTAGCAAGTTAAAATCCTGGAAACAGTCCCCTTTCCAAATCATGTAGTATCTATCTATGGGGGGAAATTGCAAGCACAGAAAAAGTAATCTGTATGAATCAACTGTTCATATTGCATGAGGTTCTATCAATCAAGGGCATTGCAAATTTGAAAGTTATTTTAAAAATTCCAACAAAACGCAAGCTTAATTTTATGTTTGGAAGAATTTTATATTAAAGATCAGAAATGAATCAAATAGCAGTTTATAAAAATTATGTCTGCATAGCAGATAGAGAATTAATTACCTAATGTCTCCTAATGCCCTTGCAAGACAATTGCCCATAACATGATCTCATATGCTCTATCCAGGTCTATTTTAAGATGCTTTGCATAGCTGCATCTTTTTTGTATGCTGTACAAAGCACAAACAATTTAGGAATTGAGTTCAGGGAGATAGTTAAAAATTCACTTGGGTCTCAGGTAAGATCAGCAAGGTTATTTTCCTTTCAACTTAACTCATATTTGAAGTGTAGTAACAGTAATCCTGTTATTGGAAAATATGCTATGGCATTAATTCAAAATTAGACATTAGGGGCCATAACCAGGCATCATTCTGCATATAAAACTCAAATCAATCTCCTTCTAGTTTCTGCATATGGAACAATGACAATTTTGACCCTTAACATTTTATTTTATTTTATAGATGATAAGAGCAAAATGTGTTTTTAGATGAGCATTTGCAGTTCCCATTGAGATTAAGACATGAATACACATCTGAAATGGAATTTTGTTCTTAAGTACCTATATATGCTTCTCCTATGACAAAATCATGAATTTATTTTTATTCTCCCATATCTAATTTTATGTCTTTTTCTTTTACTCTCCCTGTGTTCTTCAAAGCTTTCAAGTAGCATTCTGGATATGTACAACAGTGACCAAGGAATGACGGCTGCCAATATGGGTCTTACCAATACTTCCTGTCCTTCTAATTTGCCAGTTAAAATTGAAATCACAGGTAATGCAGCTTTGAGATTTTTGGCAGACTAAAAAGCTTGTTTAAACAAAGGCTGAAGCATCTATCTGTTTGTAGAACAAATGTAACCACACAGATATAAAATATAGTAGAAGTGATTTAAATACACATTGGACACCTTCACAGTGTATTGTTTCTATTCTCTAATTCCTTATTAGCTGGTTTTAGACCATCCATGTGATTGTGTTTACTCTTGGTAATGAATTATGAAATGTGGAGAACAGGTAAGGAACATGGTTAGCCATTCTATTTCTAGATGACCAGTAGCCTCCCTGAATCAGAATCTTCTGGTTCAAAACATTTTTCTCTCTTTGTTCTGAAGTGAATATCCCTAACAATAAAAGTCATGGTAGTCCTTGCTGATCCTTATAACTAGACACATGCAGCTAATGGCTGTAATTACTGTAGGATACATAATTGATCTGCACACATTTTGACTTCTGGCCCATGATATAAATAAATTATCATTCATTACATTTGTTCCAGGTCATCATAAGTGACTCTCTTAAAGGTTCACAATACAGCCATTCACCACATTAATGAATTAACATCTTTCAGACTTTCATTCAATTAATCTAAAGAATGTTAACAACCATACAGTTTATCAGTGCAACTTAAAGGAACAAAGAGATTATTTTCTTCCTCTTTCTCCAACATACAAATCTGATTATGCCTGGCAAGATAATAGGAACTCAAATTCACTTTAAAGTATTATAAAGTTTTCTATCGCCACAATGTAAAGTACAACAAATTGGATACTGCTTCCTTAGAATTTTAAAAATTAAAAATGCATGATATTTTTTTTAAAAAAAATCTCAGCACATACTGTAAACAACAAGTAAGGAAGTAGCAAGTAGCAAAAAGAATTAGGAAGTCTGAGATGGTAAATTTTTCTTAAAACCTTGTTTGTAAGAAGTTTACTGTTCACATAGAATAATCCATAAACTGTTTAGTTAGACTTTGCTTTCTATCACAGATACACACAGAATCACAAAAGAGAGACTAAAAAAGGACAACCATAATCTCAGTGAGTACATTTAACACTTTCCAAATATTTATTATTGTTAGTAGACTGTGGAAATAACTCCTTGCTTTAGAGTTATTGTTGAAGAAAGACTGAACAAACTTTTTTTTTGTATGTGAAGGGATCTGAAAAAATTGACATGGACAATAAACCAACTCTTTCAATTTTTCAGCAAAAATCATGTCTTTAATTTCTTTTTTAAAATGTCCTAGTTGTAAGCCATTGCCAGATTTTATCTTGATCTATTTTCCCCTTGATCTTTTATAGAAATTGACCATGTAATGCTATTTCATGCCAGTATTCTGTTCTTGCTTTTATTATATTATTTTGTTTCCTACACATTCAATAAGTTTCAATTTTAAACTTGCATCAGTGCCTGTTCTTCCTGTCTCTTATGCAATTATTTTCTTCTTTGACAATTTGTTTGATTGAAGTAAACTTTTTCCTCCATTTCTGTGGGGAAGACACCATCTATTAATATTTCTATGGAAATGTAATGTATAGTGAATCATCATTTACTTTATTGGTCTTACTCCAAATTGGCCAGTTCAGGGTGTGTCCAAATCATATAATTCTAGCAGTGTACTATATCATAGGTATGGCCCAGGTATGGGTGCATTTTATGGTGTTTCCATCACTATTTTTATACCTAGCTCTTTTCTCTTTTTTCGTTTTTTGTATGTGTTGCTTAATAATCACATTTTAAACTTGTCCATATCTGATGTTATTCAACTATAATGGCTCCTGCTGGTTTGGCCATTTAGCAATAGCAATAGTATTCATTGTGCTCTACAGCACTTTCTAGGCAGTTTACTGAGTCAGCATATTGATGACAATGTGAGTCTCATTTTACTGACCTTGGGAAGATGTGAGTCTGAATCAAACTTCTTACAGTGGGCAGAATGCGGCAATACTGCATTCTAACCACTGTGTTACCATGGCTCCTTTGGCATTTCAATTTTCATATATTGTTTTTGATTTTACCCCAAATTATTAAATATTAATAATACCACATTTTTGGCCCTCAATGCCTGGGGTTAATCTAGATATGTTGCCTATTGCTGTGTGCATAGAAGAAAATCCTGAAATGACCAGAAATTGATTTTTAGGACAAAGAACTAGAATGCTCAATTTGCAGAGATTGTGGGGCCCATATCATCTTATAAATTGTAATAATTTGTGCCATAAGTATTCGCTCACCCATTCGCATAATCAGAATCAGTTGTGAGCGAATACTTTTGGCAATATAGTGTATTTTCTTACCCAGTTTAAACTAAGTAACCAACATCCCCACTTCACTTAATACCCTTGTATTGAATTATGCAAGAATTGGTGAAGTTAACTTAATTGGAGTGTATTTTATTCCCATTGTTTCTGTGCAATTTATATGCCTCATGCTTCATGGGCATCGTAAAATGAAAATGCACATTCCAAATAAATTATGTCTGTGTGTCAAATAATTTGAACAATATTCTAGTTAACTTGATATTTTTACGTCTGAATAATCATTTTGGTGACAATGACCACTAACTGTGCCGTAACATTCTATAATAATATGAAGCAAATGGATGGCTGCATTCAACGAGCAGATATTAAATGTAAAAATGTTGGGTGTGAAAGATCAGATTCACACACGAAGGTCAAATTAACCTGATTTAATTATACACATCCCTATGCACAGGAATATTCTCACCTGCTAACATTTAAATAAGGATTAACAGAATTAAAGGAGATTGGACTTCTGCTTGTGGCCACATAGAGATTCCAGGCTGATCCCTGTTTTAACTCTACCCTCTGGCCCTCCTTCCTCTACACAATATTTTACAATGAAAAAGTGACTCATACTGTTTGTTTTTAAAAAACCACTTGTAAAGTAATTAAAAAACTTAAAGTATATTTGTTATGTACTATTGAGCAGGGTTTTTTTTACCAAATTTTCAAGCATGAATCAAGATTTACAATATGTGAAAGAACAAAGCATACATTTTAAAGATCAAAGCTAGACCTTCCTTAAAGTAAACATGGATGAAATTGTAAAGTAAATATTTTCATTCAAATGAAAGCAAACACATGATGGTATTATCACCTCTTTGCAGCCTTTCAAAATAACTTGTCTGATATGATAAAAGCACTGATTCATGAGCACCAATTCACAATTTTAGTTCATTGTCAAACCAAATGAGAATCACAATTTGAACATACAGCCTTAATATTAGAGGTACACATTGTTATATCTATCTTATACGTTAAATCCGTATAAAAGCTTTGTTAGTTGCATAGTTTAAATGAAGAGTTAGGTGTTCTTTCATTAAAAATAAATATATTTTTTCTTCTTTTTCCCCTTTTAAAATAAGTTGTCTTCAGGATAGTTAAACTAGCTGTTTAATGGTTTTCACAGATTAAACATTTTCAACATTTACAAATACTGTGACATTTTGAAATATGGTGTTTTGTAACAGAATAACTGCGTTGCTGTTTGTTAACAAATTATATCTTTTCTGTTATATTCTGCTACTATTAAGATATCTTGTTTTATAGTTGAAAGAAGAAGGAGGTATAACATTAATTATCGGATCAAAGAGCTTGGCACCCTTATTCCAAAGTCTAATGATCCGTGAGTTCACCTGTCATTTTTATCATTGTATTTAGAATTTAAATTTAAATAAAATAGAAAAAAATGGAGCAGAGTATGAAACAGGAATTTTCGATGTGATATTTAGTGTGGACATTTTGTCCAAAGTGGCAGATTGCTAGAGTCAATTTTTGTGTCAGTTGATGGATAATTTCAGATTTCAATTTAACTGATAATCTACGCATAATATATTGGTCCACACAGTAAGGTATTTTAAACATGATACTTGAAATAACATTCTTATAAGATAAATGACATTTGGGGCTAAGTATCTCCTTATTAACAGTGACAAATCATATTAGCATAGATATACAAAGCACTTTCATATAGTATTTTATATAAAAGTCTGTTTTAGTTTGTTTTAATCATACAGGTTTTAAAATATGATATGGAATTGTTGCTAAAACTAAACTATGATTTTAGTGTATTATTAACACTGAATATCAAAATTAGATAAAGCCTTTTATTCAAATAAGAATAAAAGCATGTTCATTAGAGGATCAGGTGAAAAGACTTATAAATTTTAAATTATATTCAGAAATTTATGCTTAAATTGTCAGTAATATATGGTTCCTAGTTCATTAATGGAGTTCTACACATAGATTTTAATCAGAGTTAATAACAAAAGCATTTTTACTAAAAATATAAAGACTATAAAAATAGAATCATGAATCTGCATTTAGATCTTACACAAAAAGGCACTTTATTACGTTCTTTTGACACTTATTTTCATTCTGGGATTAATTTTAATATATAAGGGCTTTTTAACTATTCTATTAAAATTTCCATTCAGAAGCAATAATATCTAAGAGTGAATAATGGTCATGTAAATCATTATTTCATATTAATATAAAAGATTTTGTACATTTTTATGAATTTTGCTGACATGCACAATTGTGAAAAGGTTATCATTACTTTCTACAGTGATATGCGCTGGAATAAAGGAACTATTTTAAAGGCATCAGTGGAGTATATCAAGTGGTTACAGAAAGAACAACAGAAAGCTCAAGAATTAGAGCAGAGGCAGAAGAAATTAGAGCAGGCTAATAGGAGACTGTTGCTACGAATTCAGGTTTGTAGAGAAAAATGCTCATTCAAAGCCAATCTCTTCCTTCCTCCATCTTTTGATTTTGCTACAGCTTTTACATGATCAAACTGTATTCACTGATTATAAAACACATACACATAGATCTACACTATAAGGGGGAAATCTATATTACTTAAAGACTTAAGATACATTTTGAAAAAATATTTCTTATCTTGTTTTACTTTGGGGTACATTGTCCAACATGCAATTAAGCAGCATATAATTTTCTGGTCACTTCCTATAATAGACTGTAATTGATCTACAGAATGTTTAATTGGGTAAGGATTACGCACAGGTTCTAGATAGCATTCCTAAATATTGTAAGAGGATTAGTGGGAGGATTTGATTGTTTCTATAAAAACAATCAAAGTGAAACATGTGAAAATGTGGGCATTTTAAAATTCTGAGAGTGCACTGTCCCCCACTTTGATTATTTTTGGTCCGATGAACTCAAGAACCAAGACAGTGGGAATTTGTGGAGAATTTCTAATAGAATATCTATTAGGATCATACTTCAACTGATTAGTTTTTCTGACATGAATTAAAAACGTGATCTTGATCATTTCAAATAATTTAATTTCTTGGGAGATGAACTTAATATGAGTTAAGCCCAGGCAATTGCCTCCATAGTATCACTGCTTCCCCATAATTAAAAAGCCCTGCTAAACAGTTACATTAAGCAACCATTCTTTATTCATACATTAGATCTCCCTCATTTTCCCAGTATCGTATCTGACCTCTGTCTTCTTCAGATGTCACCTGTATCATGGAGGATATTAAGAATTCATTCTACCAGCAGAATTGCATCTACAAGCAAAATAGGAAGACCATATCATAATATTTTAGATTATTAAAATATTTATATGTTAATATTCTAAAAAATTTAAAATTATTAATTTTGTTATCAATCTTCTTATAATATTAGTTTTGTTTACTACATTATACTATTTTAATATTTGTTATGTACACAACACCGCAAAGGTTTCCAATCTCAGCTGTCATAAGTAACAAGGGATAAGCCTGGGTATTTAATATTTCTGTAAACTCTGAAGCAAGGAAAGAAAAATGTTTTTGTTTTGCTTTGAAAATTTTGGAGAAAAATGGAATGTTTTTATTTATATAGTTATTTTTAGCACTCTATATAGTTATTTAGTTCAGTACTCATTATGATAGTTATTCAGATATGACTTTCTTTCTCTCTTTCTTTTTCTTTCTTTTGTTTCTTTTCTTATTCCTTCCTTCCCTTTCCCTCCCTCTCTCTTTTCTTTTTTTCTTTTGCTTTCTTTCTCTCTTTCTCTTTCGATTTCTAGGATACTAAAGTGAAAATATACTTTGATGAGAACAATTTTAACATTAACTGAATTTATTTTTAAGAAATATTTTACTGCAAATGCATATGCAAAATGCTTAGCTTTAAAATGAAGCATTCTTCAATTTTGCTTATTTGAAGAAGCTGATAGGGAAAAAATAATCCTGTAAAGAATTGTCAATTTTATATGTGCGTTTATGTGTATTCTGGATGCAGAAAGCACTGATTTTCCAGAAAAATTGTGAAGAGGCTCAGATTATTTTGTCTCAAAGGCAATGTATAAAGAATTTTTTTCAGAATCTGAATCTCCCTCTCTTTAATTTCTTCTAAACCTTTATTTTTATCATTCTATTATAAAATAATAATTTAATTATATTATTGTTTTATGAACTTTTGGAAATGTAGCGATTTTTCATTAATATCATTTTTATCATTTTGTATCTTGATTTTCAATCATAGATTAATGTCTTTTGCAATTTGGTCATTTTATATACCATTTTATGTATCATTACAAAATAAAGTATTATGAAATATCTCATAATCTGTTTTCCATTTTTCAGAAGAAAAATGCCTTAGATTTTTTTTATTCCCTCATCATTATGGCTATTATGTAGTCTCTATATGGCTTTATGAAAACATAAAAAACTGTCAGACTAGATTTCAGAACTGCACCAGAGATACTACTGTGTTGAATGGAATCCCAATGATTTTTTGTAAATCCTGCTCTCTAAATATTTTGTTTTCTCACGCAGGAGCTAGAAATACAAGCACATGCCCATGGACTACCCACCATGTCTTCAGTCAGCGTGGTTGACTTAGCATCCAGGGTCATGAGACAACAGGCATATCCAGAAGAGAATTCAATAGACTATATTCAACATCTAGCCATGGCTCATGAGCAACATGCTGATCTACATGACCCAGTTGCAGCCTTTTCTGATCCCCTCTCCCATTTTACAGACTTGTCTTTTAGTGCTGCCTTAAAAGAACAGAGACTAGAAGAAATATTACTAGATGATACAATATCACCACTTGGGATAGACCCTCTTTTATCTTCTGTGTCTCCTGCCGTATCAAAAGGAAGCAGCCGAAGCAGCAGTTGCAGTTCAGGTGATGACGTATAACATAGAAGAATATTCCATAGATAGAATAAAAGGAATTCTCCCTTGTTTTACTGGTGCTATATTTATGTTACTGCTTATTTCAGCACAATCAGGTTGGTTGCTGATAGAATGTGTTTTAGAAAGGATTGAGTATGAAATAAAAAATAAGAAAATGTTCCAACTATATAGAGAGTAGTAAGATTTTACTCTTAGGCAAGACAAGTGGGGCACATTTTCAAGGAGAACATTACTTTTTCATACACACAGGGCAAACATTTTGAATGACAGCTTAATTTATTCATTACAAATTCTCTGAATCATGAAAAGAAGTTTGAGATAACTCTTTGGCCTCTGTGCATGGAAGTTAATATATAGAAGGCCTACCGTACCTTTTTATGTAGAAACATGTGTAAAATCTACTTATTTCCATAACTCTCTTGTTTGGAAGTGATGACTCAAACCATCAGACATTTTGTATCATTCTTATTTATTTACCAGGAATGCTGTACATACATTACCTTACAATTTTATTCCACTATTGTGTTGAAGCAGGTTGATGCTAGAGAATGTTGGGGTCAAAGGTAGCGTATTTCATATCAATCTAAAACTAGAGGGTATGTGTTCTAGTAGTTCAATATTACTATAGTTCAAGGATGCTTCAACTATTGAACATGAGAAGCAAGAGCCTAAAATAGATATTGGAAACAGGAACCTAAAATAGATATCTGGCAACTTCTAGAAATTATTCTAGGTATCATAGTGGATCCATAATAGCTTACAAAGATTCAAGTTCAGAGAATGTACTTCACATCCTGGAATTCTTGACATTGATCATGAAAATATTTCCTACCAATTTAAATTATTTACTAACCAGGAATGAATCCTAGTGGGTCGTAAACTTAACAGCATAGAAAGTGTGCACTAGGGATATAAAACTGTATTGCATGTGGGAAGACTATCTTCACATAATTTGACAGCCTATATTCCCCATAAACAGGCTATAGTGCCCAGCAGTATCACTTGAAGGTGAATTATATGATTACAAATTGGTGTATTTTGTCCCAGTGCATTTTGGAGATAAAATCACCCAGTGGTTATAAAAAGTCTAGGCCATATAAAGAAAGGCCTAGGTTGATGCAGTCTAATACTTAAAATTATAAAAGACTGTTATGAATGTTAATTGTTCCAGTCACTAAAGAAGAGACATTTTATTTGAATGGAGAAATTGTACTACAGGAGTATAGCTTCTGGAAACTATACCCCATTAAAGTCAGGAAACATGTTGCGGAATTCATTGTGAATATTATTTGAAATGAAATATAAATGTTAGGTATGAAAAAGGAATAGATGGATAGATAGGAACCAAGGTCAAAGAGATTGAAGAACTCAGAATTTTTGCCATTGGAACGTTTCATATATACCATACTTCTTAGAAAGTGTCTGTTTATATTACACACACACACACATACACACACACACACACACACACACACACACACACACACTTTATAAAGATTTACCATCCAAAGGTGAAACTAGTTGACTTTGGGATAATCTTGAAAATTGGCTTAAGAATGTAGATGTCCACAAAACAGATTGATAATGAAAAAAGAAGTTTAGTAGACATGGGTTACCTCAATTTTGGCTATATGACACTCTGGAGAATAGCATGAAATTTTGATACAAAAGAAGAAGAAGAACCATACAACAAAGTAGGACTGCCAAAGAATCTAGGAAATTTCAAAATAACCTTATGCTGAAAACTTTCCTAATGAATATATTGAAATTAAATGGATTATATGTCCATTATAAATTAGATTCTATTGAGGTGCTTGTTATTTTGTTTTTTTTAATCTTGCATTTTCATCTGCAATATAATTTTATTGATGATGTTACAATATACATGCATTTGTGTTTTAAATCTCAATTTAAATATTTTAACAAAGGAACTTGTATATTTTATGTCTCTCCCCCACTTCTAAAAAAATAAATGCACTTCATGCAAAGAAGACATTAGAGCAATTTGCACAGTTCTCTCTCTCTCTCTCTCTCTCTCTCTCTCTCTCTCTCTCTCTCTCTTTCTCTCAGAGCATGAGAGACAGAGAGAAGAGAGAAGAGAGAAGAAAGAAGAGAGAAGAGAGAGAGAGAGAGAGAGAGAGAACTGTGCAAATTGCTCTAATGTCTTCTTTGCATGAAGTGCGTTTATTTTTTTTTTACCAATATTTGGAATATAAGATCAAGTATTGAAAGATCTTTATTGTGTCCTTTATGCAAATAAAGTAGGATTTGCCTTCGTACCATGTTCTCATACATGGGGAAGACCAAATAATTATTTGAGTATTTGTTCAAATATATTTGAAACCCAAAACCCCAAAAGCTTTCAAATAACTTAGTCAAGACTCGGTAATAAATATGTAATTTTCATGTGATGAAGGTCCTAGGAATTTACAACTAAATTACTCATTGGAAGAGAAACTTTGGATTTTTTTAATCTCTTTTTTTCTAGTAAGAGATATTCAAAATTCTCTAATTCGTTTAATCAGAATGAACAGTAAAATTAAGAAAAATTATTAATTATTTAATTAATACAGTAAATGTAGGTACTAATGAGATAAAATTCAAACCTAAGCCTTAGGATATCTTAGAGCAGAGATAAGATTCTACAAAAACTGAAAAAATGAAAAAGAAAAAAATGCTATGGCTCTATATCACTGTAATAATTCCATCACTTAAAATTAAGAATATTGTTATAGATCATTTGATTATAATAGGGCTGTGTTTATAAAAAAAGATTATTGTAATTTAAAATTATGTGAAGTCTTGTAGATTATTTGAATTTACTGTTACTGTTATAAAAATAATTGTTATTTTTATAACAATTACTATTTTTAATATTAATACAATCACTTGTTTTTAAACAACTGCATGCAAAAGAATATGCTTTTTTACCAAATCTGATTCAATCTTTATTAAAGTAGTTTTAACAAATGCTTATATTTTATTTATTTAAAGTATGCAATTACAACATAAGTAAAATAGATCTTTTTATAACTTGCATGAGTTCAGAATGGCACTAAGCAATATATCCAGTGACACAAAATAATAATCCCAGTTAAGCATGCTTACTGAGGAGACTATGTTGAACAATAAATACACAATGCTATTCTAAATCATGTTCATGTTGCTATGTACTATGTCCTTAATATAATCCTGTCTTTTTTTGTTTTATTCATGTTCTTAAAGTTTTGGAAACAATTTAAAATGCTATAGTAATTGCTGGTAGGCAAGATGATACTGAATAATTAATAAAGAAGCTGTACCAACCTTTTAAGTATATTAAAACTTCCTCTTCAGACAGTTTAAGAGAAACAGCATATTTTATCTCAGCAAGTAATACATTGGAAATCATTGATAATTACACAACATTGTGTCATTCAAAAGATATCCATGTTTCATGAATTTAAGAAAGAATTTTAGCATTTAAAATTCCCAGTACTAAGTGTGTGTTTTTCTAGAATATATTTAAATAATTATGCATATGATAGAATGGTACATTGTGATTAAATAGAGTACAATGCTAGCAATAGCTTTGTAGCAGCCTTGCATAATTTAAAATTCACAGTCTTTAAAAAGGCTATTTAGCATGGCATGTGAGTGTACATATACTGATTTATTTGCTTTGGACTTATTTAATTATAACTCTTAATTATTTTGTTGTACACAGTGGGACTAATTAACACTTGTAATTTAATTAATTTTGAATTTGATGAACTAGAAAAGGAAATTTAACATGGGAGCCGATGATGCAAAAGCTTTAGTGTGCTTGAAGTCACAGAATGATCTGTACGTAAGCAGAGTTGGGTCACTCTGTTAATTCAGTTAAATAGCATGAGAAAATGGAATCATAATATACAGATTACAAAAACACAGTCTGCTATCTACTTAATTAGAGACAATGATATTAACAAAAGACTTCCAATCAAATTCAGTGTCAGCATCATTTGTATAGAAAGACAATGTCGATTAGAAGCAAACTTGGGGAGATTTGATGCTAATCAGTGTCAAGTCTGCCAACCAAATCAAGGATGCACCAGTTGTGAAGTATGCCAAGCAATGTTGGTAAATCACTGATACCCATCAACTTAAATATACATCAGTTTCATTAATTGGCAACTACAAGACAAGTGTCGAATGCTCAGGATAGCAAGGATTCTGATACGATCCACCACAATGTGGTTAAGTATATGATTCATGTAATAAGAAAAAGGTGCCTGCAGGCTATTGTTCCTAGCATGGATTAAAATTTGCATATTGCCTCTCCTTATGTCAAAACATCTGGTGTCTGCAAATGCTAACATTTCGTTAAAAAGTTTCATGAGCAAGGAAAAGTAGCCTAGAAATATTGCATGTGACTCATTCAAGCATTATAATTGAATAAGAGGCAGGGCTAGGGAGAGAAAGGCTGATGGAAAACAACTGTATAGGGAGAATTATGGGAGGGTATATATTGTAAAGAGACAGGAACAATGTTCATATTATACAAACATTTTCTTCCAGGTGTCATTAAAAATGACAATTATTCTGATTGAAATTAGCTGTGAAGCTAGAATGTCACTATTAAAATAATATTAATATATTAATTTCTATCTGGAATGGGGATAAGGAGAATGCTTCAGCTGGCATTCTTAATACAATTTTAAAAAATCTTACTGTTATTCATATCTTTCTAAACATACATGTGTTCATATATTGTGAGATGGAGTAAGATATTTTAAACATTCTTCTTAGTAATTTGTGTGGTTCCAAGATTGTACTAGGTATTAGAAGTATTCTAATATTTGCAGGTGTGAGTATATAGCCAACCTTTTCTGAAAGTTCAGGAATGGAGATATCTGGTTAGGGCTTGAAGGGAAAGGTTGTTGGTTTTTTTAGAATCCAAAGGGTGTAACTAGATTAAGAAGTTCAAAAAAATATCCTAGAAGAAGACAATAGCAAATCACTTCTATGGTTTTGCCAAGAAA